TTCCCTTCCTACCAAGTCATGTAAATTAATCGAAACTGAAGGTTTTGCATTAGGTGATCGAAAAAAACCACAATTTCAACTCATATAATCCACTGTTTGGAGTAGTTAAACAAATTTATGCACTGGCTCGATCTGGTATCGATACGATAAGCAGCCTGATTCAATGTACGTTCCACTGCTTTCAGCTTTATTCCCAATCAGCAGTGAGATTCTCATTTCATACAGCCACCGTCGAGTTTCATTTTCATCATGGGTTTTGTTATCATTTGCGAATGACACTAAAATTTGTGACTTTTTTAAGGGGGATGAAGACTATGGCTACACAGTTACCTGCGGAACACATCCCAACATCACATTCGTAATAGGTGGCATTGAGTACTCAGTTACGAGCAAAGACTACATTGTAGAGGTGAGTGAAAGATTTTCGCTCTGAAATTCTTAAAACGATCAGTTGTATAGGAGGGCTGATTTCAACTCGTGGACAACTGAAATGGAGAAAAAACCTGATTTGTGCCGGAGACATTCACGTTGAGGCTGATTGCTTGCTGCTATTCTAATGACGGTGTTCTCAGGGCCTAAATTCTTCACTAAACTACAGTGTTAGAAACTTCCGTGCCTCGCAGCTGTTCTCGATTAATGCTCAAAATTTTTACTACTTTTATTGCCACTAAAAATTTCACATTCACAGCCGAAAATTAACTAGCGTATGAACTAGCTCACTGTGCAGCAAGTCTTTAATCAACATTCAAGAAAAGGATGTTTGGCTAAAAGTTTTCGTTCTGAATGTCTTAAGTCACTTGAACAATCTGGCAAATTGGATCGTGAGTATTTCTCGTATGAAACCAATAAGTAATAAGTTGTGAATGGGAACGATTAGAGGAGATATTTGCTATTGATCATTTGTTTTGTTATTGATCAGTTGTTGTTTTCATGAGACCTGGCAGAACAGATTCATGACGATGCTTCTGATTTTGCAGTACAAGCGGAACGAGTGTATTTTGATGATGGGCGCATTGGGTGAGGGCGATGAACTGTGGATTCTTGGTGATCCTTTCATCCGTCAATACTGTCAGATATATGACATGGGTCGCAAACGTATTGGCTTTGCTGAGGCTATCCAAAAATGATTTATATTCAAACGTCAATTTCGTTCATTACTTCAATGCCACATATCGATATCACATAAAATTTAACATGTTCCATGAAAACTGACTGTGGTAGAGAGTAGTATGTTGTGGGCAACGGCGACTTTCGAACATCCCATCAGCGATTCGCTATTTCCGTCTCCGTTGCCGACTTTTTTTCGATCGAACCACATCATTTTTAGTGTTCTCGACTGGAAAATTTCGCCCATGACTGTCCCCGTCCCCGATCTTGTTCTCTTTCCCGTGACATCTAACTACGAAACTAGCTGAACGCATCATCCAACTACGAAAATGCATTATGAATGTGAAGATTTAGAACGTCAAGCATTTTGATCAGTTGCATTTTTGCCCAGTGCGTTTTCTACAGTCATTTTTCTATAATAAATCTTTTGTTGTCTCGAAAAATTTTGCTCAAAGAACATTGGCAATTGATTATTTTCGTTTTTATTATCAGCAAACATATTATGCATGGTATTGCCATGAAGCAGTCCATTTGGTTGTTCCGTTCGTTGATATTGATAAGTTTTGCTTGGGCATCTGCTCACCGCAATTGTCATTTGTGCGCGGAAATGACGTATTTTGAGTGTTGTTGAGTTTTTACTTCACTTTCACAACAAGTGAACATCAGAAAGGCAAATCACCTATTGGATGATCATTATCTCGAGTAAGTGAACATCGTAAATTAGAAGTTCACGAAGAAACACGTAAACAATCCATTTCACATATTTATACTTTATGACGAATGTTCAGTACGATAAAAACGGTGATGATGCATACAGATTTATAAAGTGGAATTGAAGCAAATAAATTACGCGTTTATCAATCATGCATTATATTACATATTAAGCCAATGTATCATGCCGTGACAGCTTTGAAGAAGGTCTGACTAAACGTTGTTGTTCAGAGGATGCGTTTGTGGCGACGGCATTACAAGGTGGACGTGACGGCGACTGAACACCTCCAAATGCAGGACTATTGCTTCTAGCACGTTCTCGTTCCAGAACGCTGTTTTCATCGCTGTTTGTCAATCTGAACAGATAGCATTGCTTGAGAATAGCAACTTTTTTGAACGGACACACTCTTTATAGCTGCAGCCAGTTTATGCTGGTGTCAAACTTTCTGCAAAGGCACGGTTTCCAAAGGACTCACAAATGTTTTCGAAGTTGGCATAAAATTAGATGGACCATCATGATATTAATGAAATAATTGCTGCTACCAAATTCGTAGATTCATCTCAACTCTAGATATCATCGCACCATCACAATAGATATTCTGTGCAAATCAATGAAACCTACGGTAAACGCGAATCACACGATTGTAACATCTTCGTATCACGACTGTTTCTGAACAAGGAACGTTTTGTGGACGCTTCACTCCGTCGTTGTCGAGTGTTCGCCTCATCGGGAATAAGCGACAGCTCGAATGCACGATGCGCTACGAGTGCAGTTGTTAACGCTACTCCATTCATCTGTAACAGTTTATGCACGTATGCGCTAAACTTTCTACACAGAACGGCACAGTTTCTAAAGGATTCACAAATGTTTCGGAAGTTTGGAAGTTGGCATAAAATTAGGTGCACCACTATGATACTAATGAATTGGCTGCTACCAAATTCGTAGATTCAAATACGCTAATGTTTTCAGTAAGG